CCACATGATTGTGCAGTCTGAGTTATCGGTATGCACTCATAGGGTTAACTTGCATGCTGGGACGTTTTCCGTTTTAATCCTGATGTCTGATCTTTATGCGTGTAGATCCCTACATGTTCCCATGCAAAGCATTATTAACTAAATCCAGTATGCACTTTGCTGGACGCTGAGTAGATTATAACCCGAAAATAAAGGTGAGTACCTCGAATTGAACAAGAACAAGCGGCGCTAAAAGGATGAAACTAAAATCCATTGATGCGGCTCCCTCAGTCCCGTAGAGGACCATGTTATCTCATTGAATGACAACGCCGAAGCCCTGACGTATTACCCCTTGCACTGGCTTAAGAGTGTGTCAGATTTCGATCTTTCACTTGGGGTTATTCCTTCGTTATGCGCGGAAATGCCTCCCTGATAGGAGAATAAGTAAAAAAATGTAATTTTCGTTGAAAATAGTGAAGGATCAATTGAAATTTGTCGTTAGACTTACACACAAAAAACATTTTGATAGAAACTGACCACCTTCGGTTTCCGTGTAGAATAAAGTTGCATTTCAAACAACCCAAATGTTTGTAAAGACTTTTAAAGTTGAAATACATTGTCTAATCGAGTGCTAGAGATTAAAAATACATAATTTCCTGTGAATTTAGGTAAGACGAAATATTAGGGCGTTTTTAGAAAGAATGATTGGAAATACATATTAAAAAATACATATATGTAATAGCATCATGTAAGAGATGTGGTTTGCAAATGCACATTGGGCAGATGGATTGACACACTCTCCAAAAAAATCGGCAGATTAGCCCATATCAGCAGAGATGATGCTTCATGCATATCATTCCCGAAAACTCACCTAAATAATTGTTTTCATTTTAAAGGATATCGACGAAACGTAGTCAGTGTGTCATGACCTTTGTCACAGTTAAACTTGTTGGACAGTATTTTTAAAGTGATTACTTGTTGCGCAGACCTGTATATGATTCTGTGCTGTGGAAATGATTTTTGTTGCGTCATTATTTTTATTGTGTCCATCAATTTTTTATCCAGTCTGGTCTTAATTTACGACCAAGCGAATCAGACGCAGTCCTGACAGCTTTTTTAGTGTCTTCTTGAGTCATCTTACGCAAGGAAGCCGCATGCAATATTTTATAGGTTATTAAGAGCAGCAACCACATGTTTAGGCTTTTATTCGCCCATCGGATAAGTCGGAAAGATTAATGACATTATCACGACATCGACAAAATAGACAGACATACGTATTTTTGAATGAAGGCATGGCATTATAGGATCAAAATCAATTATAGTACGACTATCATAAATGCACCAATGGGGGCATTCTAAAAGTCCGGAAAAGGCACCTCAGTATCGAATAATCCTAAAATGTAAAATAGTCCAGATTCGTTTTTTTTATTAAAAAATTGTCTTCGCATATAGTTTATAACCCATTTGGACGCTGTCTGAACTGAAGATACTTCAATGATCTGACACCGTAATTGTGTGCCAGTTCCTTGATGAATTCCACTTTGAATCGTTCCAAGCACATCCTGCACGAGGAAAAAGAAAAAGAATCTATGTAAAAACTGGCATTTATGGTTATTATTTGTAAGGGGTTTACATCCTTTAAAGGACGGAGTAGCTATTTTTTGTAGAAATTGTTATCAATTGAGTACTTATGTTTGGACTTCACTCGTAAACTTGATTTTTCATAAAAGCCTGAGAACAGTTTGCGACCTACCGGAAAAAGGGTGAATTCCGAAATCGTGAGACATCCATACTTGGGGAATGTGGAAGATGAATGACGAAGACCTCTGGTAATACAAGAAAACGATAGCCAAGAGTGTCAAGAAGCATTGCATAGGCGACTTTATTCCATCCGAAGCCCAAAAACCTTGTGTCAAATCTGGCGGCAGTCTTTTTGACGACCACATATGGTTCGAAATCTGCTTCCCATTTTACCTGAAATCATGAATAGATTTACAAAGAGCCTCCTAGAGAATTTAGTTCTATAACAGACCAAAGCAATTATTAGAAAAATGTAATGCTGCTCTCACAGCCAGTTGATAACTTTTGGTCTTAGTGGATTTTTGTATCACGATAATTTTGTCAGGTACACTGCATACCTACGTGAACTAGGTCTTCCAAAACACGCCTACAGAGATCCATAAACAGACAGAAGAAAAAAAAGCTCTCTCATGAAAGACAGTTTGTAGAAGGATACAACGCTATCTGAACATCATTTTCATGACCAGTGTTCAATGATGAGTGCTGCTGTTATGAACACTTTTAACCATTGTCTGGTCTAAGAACTAGGAAACCTTTTGAATTTCTTTATATTTACCTTAAGTGTATAAACTCGTCCTAACTCTGGCTCATTTAGTCCGGTTAAAAGGTCTGTGCAAAAGCAACCCATTTGCAATAACGGTGATTATGAACAGTAAAGTAGTCAGACTATGACTTCGGAAAACGTTATGAGGCCTCCACAAATGGCAAATATTTACACATCTCCTACTCACCTCATATGGGACAGAAGAGTTGTACCAGTGCGTGTAGTTTGTTGCTTGGTGACCAGCTGGCCACACGTCAATGCGAAACGGTTTGACAACACCAGTTTTGATCTGATTCAGCAGTTCACTTTTATTAATAGGGAAATTGATTTGAGTGTAGAAAGTCTCGAAGGCCGGTATTACATATGCAACGGGTCTTGAATCCTTCTCCCAGGTAACCTTTGTCTTTGAGGGCGTGCTGGTTTTTATTCCTTTATTTTGGCCGGTCTGTTTTTTGTCCTCTAAGTCATTATCCTTGAAACAAATTATAAAACGTTTAGTAAAGAAGGCCATACGAGGATGCGCATATTTAAGCAGCAAATTGTCCTTGATTGTCAAATATGTTTCATTTGCGACTCACCTACCAACAGCTCGTTTGTCCGCTACCTACGCTTACTTGAAAAATCAAAGGTTGATTTTTTGAATCAGTTTCAATTAATGGCGGCTTGTAGAAGTGCGAGTTATGTTACCCAGCTTCGGAATAATTAAGCTTATTTCTCATGAGAATAACAGGGGCAAATTGACCTTGAACAATGCGAAATTAATAATCTTATGTCGGCTTAGTCGGTGGTTTTTGACGACCATATGATTGTGCGGTCTGAGTCATCGGTCTAGACTTATAGGGTTAACATGCACGCTGGTAGATTTCCCGCTTTAATCTTGATGCCTGATCTTTTTGCGTGTAGTTCCCTGTATGTTTTTATGCAAAGCATTACTAACTAAATCCAGTATGTGCTCCGCTGAATAATTGGTCCAGACCTCCTATACCCTTCTTTAGTCGGAGTGTGCATAGACGAAACAGAGCCACTTGGGGATGAATGAATGAGTTGCGCTCTTAGTGACAGTACTGGTGAGTCAAATTCCCGCAAAAAAGTTTTGGGAGAGAAGCGTCAGGTCAATAAAGTCCATGCCCAACTATCATGTTCTTCTCTTTTCAAAGGAAGGGCTATTGTTTCTTTGATAGTCGGAATCAGCCGAGGTAGTCATATAGTTATATGAACCTTTTTATTGCATACACGATTAATGGATATAAAAAGTACATTACTTTATCGACCCAGACAAAGAAGAGGAACATTAACAGTCTGAACGAAAAACGACTTTAAAATTCTAAACATATGCACCAAAAGTAGTAATTTGCCTATCACCAAAATATAATTCACGAGTCAGATAAATTCGTAGCTTTTGAGAATTATGAGCATTATTTGACTCGCAACATGCAACACATGCGTAAGATTTTGCTTTTGTCCTCAAAGTCGCATAATGAAGTTTGCGTTTATCTCAGTCGGTAACCCTTTGTTTGCAAAAGTATAGGGATACTGAGAATAGATTAATAATAAGATGGAAATTGTTGTATCAACTTTCGTAAGTTTTATTCATATCTCATCTCAACCCTTTCCAGAATAGTGCATGGTAAATTATCGCAAGTTCAAAATTATGAATCCCGATTATTTACTACTTCTACTGAATTTTGCTTCCTGGTCAGAGCGTTAAGAAATACTATCGTGTTTTGAAACATCCGTAGGCAAAACAGTCAATACAAGGTTCAGTTGTCAGCACACAAAACGGCAGAATAAGACCTTCTACAAAGAATTGGAAAACTAAATGTGAGCCCAAAAAGATGTCCTTCAGAGTGTCCGGAAACTAGAGTTTCCTGTACAGGGAGGGATTTGTCTGCTTACAAGTGACTTTCTATAGTGTCCCTGTGTGCGACTACGTTTCAGCTGAGTAAGCCACAGTCCAGAACTCTGGAGCTGGTACACTTCCGACAACAAGTGAATGCAGGGAACAACCGTGATCAAAGTCCTGGATTATTTCTTGTCACGCACATCAAGTTGGCTGAAACGCATACCGGAAGCGACAGTCGTGTTCTTGCAGGCAAGGTGTTTGAAAGAAACGGACGGACGGAACTTTTTCAAGAGGACAAGCAAAAGCACCTATTTTTATGACTACAAGTAAAGGAAAAGCTACTCAAGGATATTATTACCTCAGATGTATTCTGCTTACCGTTACTCTTTGTAACACAAATTTACACAACTTTTCATTTTAAAGACATGAGGGGAATTGGCATTCCGGTAAATCAGCTTTCCTTCACCTGCTATGCAGCAAAAATATAAACGCGTTCCCGCTGAAGATTAAAAAGTGGCACCACATCCTAAGCTTTTTATTCACACATATCCCCCGAGGTCGATCTAAAGCTTGCTTACAGAAGGTTGATTAATTATATGATACATGAAGAATAAAACCTACCTCGCAAGCATAGATAGACGAAGTTCGTCACTGAGGTATTGCGAACGGAGATTAAAACAAATAGAATTTGTACCAAAATGAGTAAAAGTCACTAACAATCACCAAATAAGCATATCTTTCGGTTGAAAGACAAGAATTCGGCTCGGTTTTCTACAATTCAAGGCAAAATGGAACGCCTATCTTCAGTTCGGCAATCCGACCAAATATGTGACTGTGATTCTCCATAGGCAGATGTTGGACGCATTATTTGCCTCAAGCTTATACTCACAACGCTTTGTGTAATATCTAAAGTAGACTGATGCTATCATTCGACCCTGGGATCCATATGCCTCTAGTTGGCTTCACGTTACAAAATTAACACAAAGCGATTTAGGCATTCGTTTGTAAAGTACATCTCAGAGATTAAAAAGTGCATGTCAATCACCCTGTGAGTTTTCACTATATATGCTTTATTTCAAAAAAGTGTTGAAGGGTAACAGTAGTCAATTTAAAAGGGGGAGTTTTAAAGATTTGATCCATTTACTCCAGTAGTGATAAATACGCTTGTCTCAGTTGGATTCGAACTAACGACATCAAGGGGAAGGCTTCAGTCAGAGTTTTGAATCCCATCACCTTCGTCAAGTTTCTAACAACTGGGTCGGATGAATGGTCGATCTATCTTTATCACACACTAATTATTTTTAATAGCTGTTTTCACGTGTTGATGTAGGCCACTTCATTCATTAGCATTGGACAAAAAAATGAAACTGTGACATAGAACATTAGTGTACGGGACTACAGAGGATAACTGGATAAAGTCTGGTAATTGATTATTTGCCGAGTGGTCTGCGAGAAAGGTGAAACAGTGCTTCTTACTTACCGGTTTGCTAGGCGTGATATATCTTAAACCTCTAATTAATGCCCGGAAATTTTGCAGTCGTAAAAGAGGCTGTTCACTGAGTGCCTCACGGAATGTGCGCAGCGAAGACTTGAATTCTCAGCAATGAATATTAGTGCTGCTCCACTAACCCGGCAACGAACGCTAGCCCAAACAAACACAATGGATAAGGTCGGAATTAGGATAAAGA